GGCCTATAGGCTGGCTGGGTAGTACGTGTGTGTAATAGATCAGATAACAGGAAATGTAGGCTACAAGTTGCTTTTATGTGTATTAAACCACATAATATTCAAATTAGTTAGTAGCGATGAGTGTATGTAGTGTGCAGCACATTTCGTGTCAATGTAATGCAGGCTGGCCTGACGAAGACGAATAGGCTGGCTGGGTACGTACGTGTGTGTAGGCATAGGCCCTAGTCTAGATCAGATACTACAGGAAATAATTTAAGATTATGCAAGGGTTACTTACCTGCAGTATAATCTGGAATCACTAGGCGTTTCCCAGCCGCTTGGCGGTATAACCAGTCTTCAAAGCGTAAATCCATACCCTTCACATCCTGCACCGTCCTCTTTTCTAAAGTGCAAGTCTGCGGGAGGGGGAAATCTAATGCAACCTTCGACCCAAAAATGATTTCCTGGGCCGGGCAACGTATCTACCAAAACTGAACCCTGCAAAACACCTCTAAAGAATAGAAGCTGAACTGCCTCTTCAACCAGAACAGGCTACTGTGCCCGTCTACTTATACCACAAACATCAACATGCAAACACAAGACCAAAGAAAAAAGTGGCTTATGTATAAACAACGATTTATTAAACTTATAACCCTTGGTAACAATACAATCCAATCAAAAGTCACTCCAACAGCACCCTGAAAACTAGTAACTGCAGGGTTGACCTGTAATTCCGAATTACATAAAACAAACTATATGCTTAGGCGAAAAAAAAAAAACAAAACCCAACACACCATCCTCCTACATGGTGAAAATCACGGGTTAGGGAGACCAAAAAACAACAAAGCTGATCCACAGGGCGGGAAGTGATTCTCACCTCCAGAGGACTAGTATAATCCAGATTATACTGCAGGTAAGTAACCCTTGCATAATCTTAAATTATACTGCGTCCTCTTTCGGTTTCGAATCACTAGGCGACTTTAAAGCCCACCCTTAAACCGAAGTCAGTAGCCGTAGGTCGGTGATAAAACCTACTAAATGTGGACTGCGTTGACCATCCAGCAGCCTCCAAAATCTGTTTAGTTGACAGCCCTAACTCGTGGGATATTGAGACAGATGCTCCTCTTGTCGAATGAGCCCTAAACAACTCCGTATCCACTCCTGCCACCTTCAAAGCCGCACACAACCATCTACTAATAGTAGAAGTGACTACCTTGTGATGAGGTTTCAAATAACTAATAAACAGCTGCGTCTCCAGGCCCCTCAAAAGCTTGGTAGTTGCCAGGTACCGAAGCATACCCTCTACTGGGCATAGCCGTTTGTCCTCAAAGGCCGGTATAACCACCTGCTTAATCTCGTACCCTGGGCGACTTTGCTTCGACAACTTAGCTGGAATAAACCGCAATGAACTCGGGGTCACCCCCAAAGAATTCAAATTAATAGAGGCCAAATTCGAGACTCTACCTGCGGTGACCAAACTAAGCAGAAGAACTAACTTCAAAGTTAGCCATTTTAGGGATAATACCCCCCAATCAGGAAGGTCTCGAAGATATCCGAGAACTGGTTCCACCTCCCATGTAGTCACATATCGTGGTCGAGGTGGATTCCTATTATGAAACCCTCGCAGTAAAGAACAAACATCCCCTACTTGTCCCACTGGGACATTATCGTCTGGAATATGGAACCTCGATATAGCCGACCTGTATACACCTAGCGATCTGTAACTGAGCCCACGCTTCTCTAGCCCTACAAGGAAATCCATGAAGTCCGCTACAGGTGCTGAAACCGGATCGGATCCCCGTTCACTACACCAGCGAACCCAGACTCGCCAGGCTGACTGATACTGCTTCTGGGTAGTGGATCGGTTGCTGTCCAACAAGACATCCGTGACCTGCGCTGAATAGCCTTTGTCAACAAAGAGCGAGGAAGGCTGCTAGTAGTTCTAAATAATTTATGTGATGGGATTGTTCTTGAATAGACCACCGACCCCCTGTCCTGCCTAGGTGACAGTGCGCACCCCAACCTCCCATGGAGGCGTCCGATGTGATGACGATCTTTGGTTCGGCCAAATGAATGGGTCTGCCGTTCCAGTGATGGAGGCAATGTGCCCACCATCCCAGCTCCTGGACATTGGCGGGGGACAAGGTCACTAAGCTCTGGTACGACGGGTCCCTGTGAACCGAATGAATCAGATCTCTTTGAAGGGCCTTGAAGAAAACGGGCGCATGAAGAACGTCTTCTGCTGTCGATACCATCTTGCCAACCAGGCTGGCCAGACATTCCGCACTCAATATGGGATGTTCTGTTGTCCGCCGAGAAAGATCTTGTAACCGGGACAACTTGTCCTGAGGAAGACTCAGAGTCATGGCGGAAGAGTCTACCCAATGACCCAAATAACGGAGACCGCGAGTTGGAACTAACTGAGACTTGGTCCAGTTGACTAACAACC